CCTACTTAATCCTTGTGATCAAACCATAAGTGGCCTGTATGTTCATATACGAAAGGCTCCTCTTCATGGTCATGTTTTGTGACTACGAATGCATACACATGACATCTACATATTAATTCACACATACACATAAATTAAATTGGGGTGACAATTCAACACGACCGGTCGACATAATATGAGAAAATTATATTCGGGTCGATTCGTTTTCAAATTCATGTGGTTAGTTTGTGTCGTGTTACATGTCAACTCGCGAATTCAAAATTAACCCGCATTAATATTTTTATAGGTTATTCGTATCGTGTGTTAAATAGGTTATTTGTGTCTTATCCTGCCGTATCGACCTGCATAATAAGTAACACAATTTGTAATTGACAATTTATTCGTATCGTGTCGTCTCGTGCCAACCCACATAATAAGCGATAAACTATGAGTTTGTGAGTTTAGTCGTAGTGTCAAAGGTTTTAACTTGATTTTAAATTTGTGTCATATTCGTGTTGAGTGTAATTTTCTGTTGTATTCTGTCGAGTCATGTCGATCCAAATTGCCACTTCCGATATGAAATTTATTATCATTATTTATATATAAAAAGAAAATGGTTTAATAAATTTTGTGACATTGAACAAAGGTATAATAACTTAAAATATAAGTCAAAAATAACTAGATCTACTTTTTTATGCTAAAATATAACCTTATTAACTTTGGGACAAATCCTAAATACATGTAATTCAAAATCAAATCCCTACCTGCTTATAGAATATAGAGAATACGACTTTATTGAACAAACAAAAATTACAAAATAATCATGGTTACATAACAATCGTAAGAGGGAAATAACGACAATAATAAAGGGAGTAATTTGTTGCTTAACAATGATTATCAGAAAACATCTTGGGTGAATAGCTGATCAGCTTGAATCACATTGTAGTGTGCTATACATTGATCTTTATCTTGAACTCCATTGCTGTTTTTGCAGTAGTGGCATTCTTATCTGTTTCTTTTGGTTTTTCTTGGCTTCGGTGGGTGATTTGTGGTTTTTTGCTACCAAAGCATTCTTATCTGTTTTTCTCTTGGGTTTTTTTGGCTTCGATGAGTGATTTGTGGTTTCTGGCTAAAAAAGGATTCATCTGTTTTTCTTTTGGTTTTTTGGCTTGGATGGTTGAAATGTGGTTTCTGGCTACAAGAGGATTCATCTGTTTTTCTCTTGGTTTTTTGGCTTGGATGGTTGAAGTGTGGTTTCTGGCTACAAGAGGATTCATCTGTTTTTCTCTTGGTTTTTTGGCTTGGATGGTTGAAGTGTGGTTTCTGGCTACAAGAGGATTCATCTGTCTTTCTCTTGGTTGTTTGGCTTCGATGTTTGAAGTGTGGTTTTTGGCTACAAGAGGAGGATTCATCTGTCTTTCTCTTGGTTTATTGGCTTGGATGTTTGAAGTGTGGTTTTTGGCTACAAGAGGATTCTTCTGTTTTTCTGTTGGTTTATTGGCTTGGATGTTTGAAGTATGGTTTCTAGCTACAAGAGGGGGATTCATCTGTTTTTCTTTTGGTTTATTGGCTTGGATGTTTGAAGTGTGGTTTCTGGCTACAAGAGGGGGATTCATATGTTTTTCTGTTGGTTTATTGGCTTGGATGTTTGAAGTGTGGTTTCTGGCTACAAGAGGGGGATTCATCTGTTTTTCTTTTGGTTTATTGGCTTCGATGTTTGAAGTGTGGTTTTTGGCTACAAGAGGATTCATCTGTTTTTCTTTTGGTTTATTGGGTTGGATGTTTGAAGTGTGGTTTCTGGCTACAAGAGGATTCTTCTCTCTTTTTTTTGCATTTTTGACTTGGAAGGGTGATTTGTCGTTTTTGGCTACACAAACATTCTTATCTTTTTCTTTTGAGTGTGATTTTGCCGAGAGAGAGAGAGATAAAGAGATGAAGAGAAGAGAAGAGAAAAGAAGCGGGGGAGGGGGGAGGGGGATTTGCAATTTTGAGTGTGATTTTGCACACAGAAAGAGAGAGAGATAAAGAGATGAAAAGAAGTGAAGCGGAGAGGGGAGGGGTTTTTTGGCTTCGATGGGTGATTTGTGGTTTTTGGCTGCACAAGCATTCTTATCTGTTTCTTTTGTTTTCATGGTTATGGGGCTTGGCTGGTGATTAGAGCAGTTTCCCATTGCAAAATATGGTTTGTGCAATTTTGAGTGTGATTTTGCAGAGAGAGAGAGAGAGAGATAAAGAGATGAAGAGAAGAGAAAGGAAGGTTGCAATTTTGAGTGTGATTTTGCACAGAGAGAGCGAGAGAGATAAAGAGATGAAGAGAGGGGGGCAGGGGGTTGAGAAGTAGGAGAGAAAAGACTAGGAAGGAGCTGTATGAGAATAAGGAGACAAAAGACAATGACGTGATTGTATTTGTTTTTTGATTTATTAAGATAATTGCAACGAGGTGATGGGATCAATTGTTGTTGAAGTCTGAACTTGTTGCCATGTTTGACTACACGCTCAATGTTTCTATCTTATTAAACAGAGAAAGTTTGTTTTTTTGTTTTTTTCAGATATATAATTGCGAAGAGGTGATGATGGGTTGTTGAAGTATGAACTTGATTATTTGACTAGATGCTCAATGTTAATTTCTTGCTTATTAAACAGAGAAAGTTGGAAGAGAAATATACTCATGTAAAATAAAGATATTACAATATATATAATAAACCAATTCAATAACCAGGGGAAAAAACGTGCGAAGATGGAAAAACTAAGATGTAAATAATATGGGAATAGTGTTTTTTTGAGATAAATTTATGTTCTACAACCTAAACATAACTTTGGAGTTTAGATTTTTATTTTTAATCTTTAGCTTCACAATGGCTTCGTTTTGAGATTTTATCTCATGTCACAGCAAAAACATTAATCTCATACAATATTAACATAATATCAAAATAACAACTTTGATAAAAATGTTTATTATGAAATAAATAATGATAATTTTTGCATAAATTACTATTTTTTTCATACTTTTTTCCCTTGATAGTCCCCTAACTTTTTCTGATGATATATTGGCCTTGTGGTGTAGTTATGGCATAGTTGTTGCCATCAAATTACTTAATTGACAATGTTATAATGAGATAATGAATTTTATCCATTAAAGATAAATTTCTTTCTATAAATAAAAAGTTTAATTCCACACGTGCACAGTAATTTGTCACCGTGGGTAATCTCCTTCATAGATATAGTAGGTTGTCAGATCTCATGTATACTTATAATAATTTGTTTGTATTCAAAACGATTTGTAATTAAAATTGTACCATGACCCAGCTTTAAAAAAAAAACCTAAACTAAACTAAACTAAACATGCATTTAATCTCTTAATAGTTTATTAGGTTACTAATTTGGCAATTTTTATGCATCACATGCACACTTTTTTCTTTTTATTTATCTCTAATAGCCATATGATTCGTAAGTTGGTTCAGGGTGACAATTCGAGTCAACACGACCCGACCCGAATACTCTCAACTCGAAAATGATATAATTTGAAACCGAGTTAAAATCTTCAACCAGAACACGACCTGTTGTTTTTTTTTTTTTTTGAGTTGACAAACATAACACGAATAACCTGCAAACTCATAGTATCGTTTATTATGTGAATTGATATGACACAACACAAATAACTTGTAAATCCTAATTATGTTGTTATTTTGCGGGACAACACGAGACGATAAAACACGAATAATCTGTTTACGACACGACACAATACGAATTAATTGTAAAATAATTAATGCGGATCAAAGTATTCATTAACAATTTGAAGAAAAATATAAAATAAGTATATGAAATACCAATTAGATTTTAGTTATATATTTTTTTCCAATATATTGCGCAAATTATACTGTGTACATTTATAATTACTTATTGAATTATTTAATCGTTAAATTTATCTTCATGTAATGAGATTGTCTTTTTCATTACTTTTTAAAAAATAATCTTTTTCCAATTTAATCATATATATTTTTATTTCCAATTTGAAGATATTGACTTTAATTTACGTTTTCAAATTTTATTTCATATTTAAAGTATCACTACTTGATTACCAAAAAAAAAAGTATTCACTACTTTATTTTGAGCTGCGACAAAGTGACAGTGAGGTGATTGTATTATCTCGTTACAATTAAAGTGGTCCACTTTATAATCTCACTTCAATAAATTGGTTAATGAACATAAGAGGTTACAGTATTTTTGGTGTTCGAGACATGTTACAATACCTACAACATATCTTTTGATTAATTAAAAAACTGCTCACGTTTTTTCCTTCTTTTAAATACACTAGACGCGGCAGTGTAAAAAACTAGTATTAAAAATGTAAGTAAAAATAGTTTTTTTTTTTGGTAAACAGTAAAAATAATTTTTACTGAAGTGATACGTGTTAAAATGTAAGTAAAAACTCTCATCAATAAAAACTGGTAAAAACACGCTACAAAAAGGAGGGATTTTCCTGGAAGTTATTTATGTGGTGTTTGGTTGGGAGCTTTTCAACGGATATCTATCTTTTTAAGTATGACTTTTAGAAATACCATGTTTGTTTCAACGTTTTTCACCAAAAACCCATCTATCCAATTTGTCTGGATTTATGAGAAACATAGATATCCGCACTGTTTAGAAACCCAATTTGAAGGTGGGATTTTTCGGAAAACCGATCTTGCTTTTAATGCACTGTTGATTTCATAAAGTTACCTAATTTTTCCAGTAAAATTTTTCCCCACCAAACAACTTTTTTTTACATTTTTTTACCTATCTCACTTTATCTATCTTTTCAATCATTTTTCTATCTATCTCATTTTTCTACTATTCCAAAAAAAATTCCTGAACCAAACGCCCCCTCGTTCTAGAAAAATTGCCATATATGAGTTTTAGCGGTTTACTGACCCCACAGTTTATTTACTTTTTCTGACAATTTTAGTAATTTGTTGGCCGCTTTAGATTACCGTAGATATTTTGTAATTTTTTTTTTTCGTTTTCTGCTGTTTGCAAACCCCACTATCCACTACAATGCTCTTCCACCGTAGAACATTCACCATTTTCGTTCGAATCTGAAAACCTCACCTATAAGTCTGATAATTATCCTTGTATAAATTTTAAAATCATAATTTCCTTAAATTTGTGTGAATTACGATCTCAAGGTTAGTTAGAACTCTCTCCCCCAAACTCATGCCCTAACATTTAGGTAACTCATCTTCTCTCTATTTGATTTGAGTTTCATCCATCTCAAGCATGGTTTCATTTTTTTGTTCTTTTCTTCAATTTTTACAGAAATTCTTTAATTCTAATTTTTCTCTTCAATCTTCAGTTCTTCTGATTCATCTTATATAGTTCATTTTTCTTTCCTTTCATCGTGAAATCGTGAATTTCGATTTCACTATCATCAAGCAAATATGGGGTTATTTGGTAACCAGATGCAGATCATCTTGTCTATGTGTCATTGCAGAAACATTTCTGCAATTGTGATGCACTTTAGTTGCCTCTTGAACTCACCATTGGTTCATCGTTCCGTACACACTAGAATCTTCTCTTCCACATGGACACTGCCACATTTTGTTTACTGCAATTGCAAAATATTTATGTGTTAAGATAATGCGTTTTTCATTTCCAAGCATAACACATTTTTCTTCTTCTTTCGAATCTAGGGCCAAAACTGGAATTTTTGTTTTGAGCTCTTTCGATTTGAGTTTCAGTCGTTAATTCTTTGGTATTGGTTTTGTACACACACCACAATGATTATGATCTTTGACAGGCACAATGGTATATCCTTTGTTATTTTTGCAAAGGAAAACATATTATGTTATGAGTGTGCTATACCACAAGATATCAGCAGGGATGAATCACTGCAAGCTTTGGTTTGGGATCTAGTAGTTGGTTTTGTGAAAACTAGCGTAGAATTTCACCAAAAGCTACATACAATTTTCTTTGCATCCTTATTAGAGTTACCTATGTGCACTTATGCTGTCATTTAAATTTCACCTACAGTGGAAACTTTTGGAATGATAGCTACATTGTAATTTACATTGGTCATAATGCCAATTATTTCTCTCACACAATATGGATTCAATCATGATTAAATAACTTTCAATTTGAGAAAAATCATCCATAGTGACTGTCACCCTCAACATTGTATTAATGAGATAGCCTTAGTGTAAATTCATAGCTGAAAATAACTAACTTGATATATATGGTTGTAGCATAACTAAGTCACTTTTGTCATTTCACAATATTTTTATGCATATTAGCTGTTATATAATTAGTTAAATTTGAAAGTCATATACCTATATTTGTGCTTTATTAAGTGCATACTAGAACTATAAATTAAATTGTGCTGCGGACATAGTCGGTATTATATGCGGTATTTATGCAAAGGTATGCTACTCTATACATCTATCATATAGTTACATTAAGCTATTTGGGCGTAAAGGGGACCTAAAATCTAGTAAGTGTAGCAGTTGTCCAAGTTAGTTAAAATTTGTTAGGCTAGGTTGAAATTGCATCATAAAAACATTTTCGTTTAGCTTGATACACATTGACCTGATCATTGCAGTCTTATGATCTTTTTCTGCCTTGTACTTAACTCTTGTCCTTGTGGTGGCACTAAATCTTGTTTAAGAACCTTTTAGACTGAATTGTAATCCTGTTGGGTAATTTGGTATCGAGGGTCTATCATTGCTGGCCATTAATAACTATAGCTATCAAAGTGATTGATACTGCTTTAAGAGGCAATACTTTCTAGTGAGGAGAGATATGAGAAGATACTAGAGATGATTCCTGATCAATGTACATGTTTTTATTGTTTGTCTTACCTTCATGTGATCTCTGTCATGACATTTTCCAGCAGTCATCTAGATATAATGTGTCTGTTGTATTTGCAGCTATTATTGATTGAACTTAGGGGCATGTGGCAAGAAAATAGGTCATTTAGTTCAAAGGAAGACATTAACTTCGTAGGTTGGGAACAACTTAAACAGATGCTGCAGTCATTAAAATATAAGGTATGACCATTTTCAGGGTGACAAAGGTTCAACAGTTATAAGGAAATTTTTATAAGATATTTTTATATCATTAAAACATGTGTTTCTTAACTTCTTTAAATATCTTTTATTCTCACTTCAACATCATACTGTTTTTCTTTTTTCCAATTTTATATTTGTGTAAAGTTTGTTGTTTATGTCATCATCGCTTAGTGTAGTCATAAGGCAACTATTTGCTTCAAGTTATATAGAACCATTAAGAAGGCTTATAATGGAAATATGGTATCTACATTTCTTTCATTCTCTGACTCTCATTCTTTGCACTTTTCTAAGTGATTTGGTATGCTATTTGCATCTTATTCTCCGAAGTGAGCTTGCAAATCATAGGAATTCTCTTTATTTGAAATGGAAGTTCCTTTCTCATTCTAACACATATGCCTGAATTCGCAATTTGTTGGACTTTTTCAGATGGCCAAAGATTCTTACTAACTTTTGACTGTATGCCCACAGTGTGTGGATCACCCGTAACTGTAAGGTTGTTTAAGATATCCTGTTCTTATCTTTAGCTCAAATGGTTCTTGCTTTCCTTGCTTTGTGTTAGGAGTTTACTGTTTGGCAGACTGGGTTAGTGAGGTAACTTAAGAAACCTTTGGATTAGTTTGAAGGTAACCATACTCGTTATATTCATGTGTGATTTTCATAATTTATTCGATAATCACAGAATCTCTAACCTTATATTTGTCGGAAGCAGGAATTGCAGGACCAGATACAATTGGTTCCTATTGATCTACAAAATAGGCCTTCTTGGTATAAGGAGAAAGTCTACCCACCCAACAAGGTCATATTACCTATGTGCCAAAACCGAGCCATCTTGATCTTATATTTGTTTTGAAAAATAGTGTACCACATCTAAATAGTGATGTTTTGATGTACTTCGAAATCCAGGTTCCAACTTTGGAACACAATAATGAAGTTAGGGGAGAGAGTCTTGATCTGATTAAATATATTGACATTCACTTTGAAGGGCCCTCCGTTTTGCCAAGTGTAGGATAGTTATCTGATTTGCATTGAACTACTGTGTTTAGAAATTTACTATGTGATGAAGAATCATATTCAATTTATATTACCGCCGACTATACATTTTTATGCTTTACTTATTCAAGTACTTATTTTAATAACGTTGGTCTCTTTGTACTAATAAGTCATCACAATTCACAGGTTCTACAGAACGGGGGACTTTTTTTTTTTAAAAGGTTGGGGGTTAGAAAATCAGTTTATATTTATTCCATTGCACTTATTGGACCTTTAAATCTATTTTTAGAAAGAAAAAAATTGTATCGCTATACGAAACTTTGAAGGCAGAGAAGCGTCGTGGATCGTAATTAGTTCGAAAATAATTCTAGCACCGATTTTTATTTTTCGAGTCCCATATCCATTCCTAAGCCCCCAAAAGACACACACACACACAAAATGCACTTAATAGTGGATGTTCAAATTTGTCATAAAGTGAAATAAATTCTGGCGGTTTATAGCCTCCAAAAAGTGAAAGATATTGTGGAAGTTAATGAATTTCAGAAAGTGCAACATTTGTGGGGTCCTAAGCCTCCACAAAACATTCCAACAAATTGTGGCAGTACAAAAAAAACTGGGGGCTTAGGTGAATGCCACAAATGTCTTTTGTGGGGGTCAAAGACCTCCGCAATGTGAAAATATGACATCCACAAAATGCCTGAATTTTTGTAGTGACGGTAGAAATTACATTTTCTTAAACCAAAAATCTGAGTCGGGTGAACTTTTAACTCATGACCCTTTTTTTTAAAATATAAAACAGACTTCCATTTCCCCCAAATCAAAATGCACAACATCTTTCTTCTAGCTATCTAGAAAAAAAAAAAAAAAAAAAAACCTCACGTGAGGTCGTTCTTACAGAGAAAAAAGAAAGTGAAGCCACTAGTAAAAAATTTGAGTACCAAACTGAGGTGGATTTTGAATCAATGTAATACGTTTTATTGCAAATGAACTTATTATAGTAGCAAGAGAAGAGGACATACAACTGATACAAGATTATGTGTTTGATTTGAATCAATTGATAAAATTTTGGAGTTGTTAAACTTTATTCTTTTGATGTTTTGGAACTTGGTTGTAGGAGTTGCTAAACTTTTTTTATATTTTTGGACTAATGTCTTATATAGTTATATGACTTATATCTTTTAAATATGAAATTGTTCACTGAATTTTGAGACTTATGTGATTTCTTTGATATATATATATATATATATATATATATATATATATATATATATATATATATATATATATAGGCTATATTTATCTCATTCAACATGAGATAACCCATCTTCCTACACACACATAACAAAAGTGGATCTCACCTCTATTTTTTCTCTACAATCATTTGAGGGTCCCTTTTATAATTTTGTTTCACTAACATAAGATAACTCATCTCCAACAACATAAGAAAAATATTTCTCTTTCTCTCTCTCTCCCTATATCTATATCTATATATTCTCTTGAGGTATTTTCTTCCTAACTGCGAAAAACCTGACACACTCTTTAATCCGTGTAAATTCATATTAGGCCTCCCCAATGGGAGTAAGCATATTCGCATATACTCGCTTGTACATGTTTCCAATATTATCCTCTTGAAGTCATATCAACACCGATTTACTGTTCTCTAACTCGACTTTTCATGACCTTGTGTCAGTACACATTCCACACCCATCTATAGAACATTGCAACAATTTCCAATTCGCTTTCCGGATCTGGGAGAATCAGCACCGAAGTAGTTGTTGACATCTCCAAACAATTTCTAAACATCTTTCACACTCATGAGTTCACACGAATGGAATGTCCTTCCTAGCAAATAAGATAAGGACCTTATCATCTGATAGAATCCTTGAATGAAACTCTTATCCAAGTCTATTTGTCAAAAAAACTCGTGATTTCAGAGATTTTCTTAGACCGTTCCCAAATCTTCAATTGTCTATATTCTACTAGGGTCAGCAGTCACTCAGTCAGCAGAGATGACCTAACCATCGAATTTTACTTCACATTCTATTATGAGTGAGTTTAGGTTCTATTCCATGACTCTAACCATGCCTTAACTTACACTTCAGTGAGTCATTACACATCAAACAACAATTCTTATGTCTTTAAATAATACAAAATCATGTTCACGATCATTTCATTTGATACATATCAATCAAGATATTAAATCACACTGTAGCGTATCTTAGTTCACGTACACCTGCAGAAGCTAATCAAATTAATTTATAAATGTGGAAGCTAATCATATTAATTTATAATTAATATCACTAAAGATGAATAAACTTTTTATTTTTTCGTTATACATTTCCATTTACCTAATTAAATCTAATAATCATTCGGTGACATGTCATTAAGCCACAAATCGTTTCTAAGCGTCACATCCTAGTCCATATTTTACTTGATGTCCCATTTACCAAAGTTACATTCATACTTAACTTAGCTTGTAATACTTAGAAATCCTTTAACTAAGTCATTTAATTTCATACATCTTTCCTAATTCCTTTCATGGTTAACTCCTTATAAATTATAACATGTGTTTTCTAGGTAACCTTTCGATAAAGCCTATATGCTCCATAACTCCATACAACACCTAATGGACCTTTATTTATATATCATACATAACCTAAGTCATTTCAAGACTTTAAATAAAAATTCCATAAAACATAGTTCATATGTCACAACATGAAATGGCTAAAGTAATACAATTGCTCGCAAGATATATGCTTATACACATCTTCCAACAAGAGTAAACAAAGTCAATATATACATGATGGCTGTAAGAACCCGCAGCGCTAAATTAGAAAATTATTGAGTTAAATATGATTTAAGAAATAATTTCATAATTGACTTTGAATAAATATGAAAAGAGCATAATTAATATTAAGTCACTTTTTAGAAGGAAAGTGCAAACATCGTGTATTTCACGGTATAAATGGATACTGGTGAAGTAACTTGAAAAATAGAAATAAAAATATGAATATTCCTAGAAAAATATCTAGGTCAAGAATATCAAATTTGAGATAAAAATAGTAAGCAGTGATGTCAGAACTAATACCGGCTATTTAGCAGCAGAAAATGCGTACCGGCAAAGTGTCTCAAAATATTAATGTAAAAATATGATAATTCCTAGAAAAATGTCTAGGTTAAGAATATAAAATTTTAAAGTTAAACGAAGAGCGAAACTAGTTAAACTAATACTGTTAATTTAAGTGAGTGCACATGTATATAGCTAATGGCACTAAACCCTAGTTCATTTTTCAAACTCCCATGCTGATATTCATGGCAGCCATTTGCTCTTCACCTTAACACCATAGTCTCTGTTAGTACGTAGGTGTCCTAGAGACAATCTGAGAGTCAGATGGACCCATATACTTCTTTATTAGTTATGAATAAATTTTATGAATAAAAGCATTATTTATCTTGTTTCATATTGCATGTCTCAAATATTGAATATGAGTAACTAGGTAAAGCCCTTGGAATGGAACGGGTGTCACATTGAGGATCTGTGATAAGGATCACGATCATGAGGTCTCAATGACACCGCACGTCCATTGCCAGAAATATGTTTCTAGTCTAGAGATACTGATAATGGGCATTGGTTATCTCGGGTAAGACTAGCACAACTCAGCTACTTGCATGGAGATGCAAGGTAGAGTCCTCGTGAGCTGCAGACATGGAGATATCTTAATTGACTCATGGGTGGACATATTGGAGAATAGCTCGCACTGAACTGACCCACAAAGAGACACTACAAGGAAATCTCACAGATAATATCAATAGGTAAAGTCTCTTATTACTTGGGTGTGTCTTTTCATAGAGCTGACATTGTCATATAGACCTGTGCTGTAGAAGGCTTGCTTTGATTGTATATCTTGTCTGCCTGAAACATGGAGACTCGTAGGTATACTCTTGGGCATGCCCTAAGAACTCAGGGCTAGTATGACAAGCTAAAGGAATTCGTCAATCTCTGTGAGAGATTAGGTTATCCGTAGACCGGTGAAATCGAGATGACATTTACGGGACTCAGGAATCTATGCATAGTAAAAGAGTCATGAGATGGCCCGCTCTTTATAGTTCATAAATGAAGATTCCCTGTTTCGGCAAAAGTGTTGTGTAAAATCGGCAAGTGCACCGATTGTACCAAGTAATAAAATGATGAGTAGAGATCGTCACGAGGATTGAGGCGCCAAAATTATTTTAACTATTCCTTTCTTGTTGGATGAATAAAAGTTGATTTGACAATATTTGTGATTGTAAAAATTGAGAATTATTCAAGACTTGTGAACAATTCAAAGATAATTTTGAAAACTTGAGAATAAAAGATTTAGGTTGAGAAAATATTTAAAGAATATTGTGGTAAAAGACGCCAACACCTTTCTGATCCCCACCTTGTAATATTAATTAATGTTTACATTTAATTACCCATTGATCAAACAATTCACCATCTATCAATTGATTAGTTAAGCCTTAATTCCTTAGTGATCTTAACTTTATTAACCCTATTAGAATCCTAATCCCTTATAAATCCTTTTTCAAGTTAATCCTTTAAACCAGTGAATTTTCCACGTTTGCAATTCATGTAGCCTATCCCTAGTGCGTACATGAACTGTTATTTTACCCTTTATCAGGAACTAGAATCTCAATATTCCTATTGAAAACCCTAACCCTCGCAATCCCAAAAGAGTAATCAATTCTTGAAGAATTATAAGATGAAAAGCAGGATAAAATAAATGCAATTGGAATAATTAAATATAAAATTAACCAAACTACAAGGGGTTCACATCAATGGTTGTGACCCTTACCACAATAATAAAAGACTAGCCAGACATGTTCATGTCTGACAATTCAAAATATTGAAAAGAATTCATAAAATAAAATAGTAACCAGAAGAATGGAAAGAAGAAATCTTGAATCTTCAGCCACCAAGAGCTTGCTCCGATTCCTGTTGTTCGCAATTTCTCCCGTGCATAAGGTATGTTCTCTTCAGGTCTGAGTCTCTATTTATAGAGTCTTTGACCTTGTGTAGAATCTTGATTTA